GTTGTCAAGAGAAATCGATTGGGAACTATGGTCGGCTACACATTCGTTGCCAGTTTCCTAGTGTCCATTCGGACAAAGCTTGGTTTTATGACCCAGTTCCCCACAATTCCAGCAGTCCAACTTTCTTCCATGTCTGCAGTGTCGTGATATGTGTCCACTTTCCCCGCAGAAATAACAGAAGGCTGGACGGCGGAAGGAAGTACTGCCAAGTATTTCCGATTCTTCACCATTCGTACGTACGTTTCCGACTTTGAGGATACTCACGTATTGATGGAAAATTTTTAGCAGTTCTGTGGTACCTCTGTCTGACAGATGAATGTTGTCTTTCCAATAATACTCTTGTTTGGGATTTCCACGACCAAAGAATTTAGAAGTTGGAATCACTGAACAACCATACATTTCACATACACTTTTAATAATTCCATTAACTTCACTGGTGTCTGTATCACGCCTTGGTAATACTTCCGAGATAAATACACTGATACTAGAATTCCGATTTCTGAGATCGGTGATTACTTCTGCGAAATCATTTTCTATTGCCTCTGGGTCTCGTCGTCTAGATGCATCATTTCCGCCAGCCAAGATGATTACACTACGATATGAAGAAACATCCATTTTTGAGAGCTTGGACCGTATATGGGAGATGTTTGCCCCGCGATTTGTGTTGACCTACACATTTGAACGCAATCCTCTGGTGCGGATCCTTTGCAGTATGGAACTTCCTATGATGAGGACAGATTTATCCGTTGGGATCTTTCTAGGTTGATTTGTTCCATGTTTGGTGTTTGAATCTGGCGAGGTAGGAAAACTCATAGTATGAGCTTCACTGGCATCTGTCATGGTACATGTACTATTGGATATTGTCGGAGCTTTAAGGGTGCATTGGGTATGCCTAGATACACCAGCTGGAATGTAAAGGAGTCCGTCTGTTGATGTCTCCTTTTGTTTTGTCCTATTAGGAGTTGTTTGGGTAGCTCTTGAAACAAGCGAGGTGACATTTTTTGACCCATTTAGTTGCTGTTTTAGGTCAATGACTTCCTGTGACAAAAGCTTGACGGTGTCAGACAATTCCTGAATAAGTTTGGCACTGCCAATACACTGATGGCAATTCTGTGATGTCTTACCCTGAGGGATGGAGGTGCATTGAGGAGATGTTTCATCTAAAGTCTTACAATTTGTTTCCAAATTTAGATCCAATTTATTCAAGTCCGTGAGGAACTCCTGATACCAAGAAAAATACGATTCCCCTTGGATATGTAGAGAGCTTGTTGTCTCGTAGATGGTAACAGTGACAGTTTTATCCTGTGATTTATAAATAGATCCATGTCGCCTTTCATTACTGTCTTTAAATAATAGGAGTTTCTTCTCCAACAGATCTAAAATGATGGGGTACTTGTCGCCATTGAAAGTAATTGTAACACTTTCCTGGTTTTCCTGTACTTGCAAGAAATTTGGCACATCATTTACACTAAGTCCCACAGATTCCGTTGGCAGATCATTAGTTAAAATAAACGATCTTGAAAATCCGGTAAATGAGTCCAAAAGTGACTTGAAAAGATTAGAATTATCACTCAAACTCATTATTATTCCATTGTTAAGCTAAGTAGAGATAAGATCTTCAGGAGCTGTAAAAAACACGTCTGGTCACTTGACTGCTTATCTATCTTGCGTCCCTTATAGAGTTTATGTATATAGGGTGTTGCTAAAACGCGGAACGGAAAACGGAACGGAAAGCGGAACGGAACGGAAAACGGAATATGTTTGTTTTAGATTAAATCACTTAAAATGCACAAATTTTATCATAAACGATAAATCATATGCATCTTTTATCCCTCATTATTAAGTACAAGTTGATTTAGTAATGTTCAGTCTCTTATTCACGGAAATCGCTGGCACAGCTGTAACGTAGAATTAAATTTGAAATTGTGTGTGTGTGTGGGGGGGGGGGGGGGGGGTAAACTCAACTGCAAAGAATCTGACAAACGAAAAAAGACAATTGTTTGATTCGGGAGGGGAACAACCTATCAATTCCATGAACTAAACTTGTGTAGGTTTCAATGAACATTTATAAAGTAAAAAGGTTATTTTTGGAAAAAATTGGGGAGGATATATTTGAAATCTAAACAAACAATGGTAAGAGAAATAAAATGTAAAAAATTCTTAAGATTTACCTTCCTGGCAAACTGGGGTAAACATTTCTAATGTTATAGTGGTTGTTAAAATTTTATACAAAATAGAGTCGCTTCCTTTATATTAAAATTCTGAAAAGATAAGGTTGGAAAACTTTTCTGTGGTAAATTTAATGTAGCATTTTTACATTCAATAAAGTTAAAGTTTGTTTCTTTATGTGGTACATGTGTGTACGTGCGGGGGTATTTGAATGACTTTGTAAAATCTTTTTAAAAGTTTTTTTCCCGCACATTGGAAAGGTCTGTGAAGTTGAAAAAGGTCCGCCCCTGTCCAAAAAATACATAAGATTTAATAAATCAATTAGTGGGTTTGGGCACCTATTATATTTGTCTTTACTGATATCAAGTATAGTTTTTTTTCCATCTGCCATATTCCGAGACAGTATATCTTTTTTTTTTACGAATGAACTCTCATTTCTAATAAAATCAAAGTACTGAAAGTACTGATGGGAGTTGATAATTAAATTAATTCGATGTATGATTGATTGATTTATATTGTTTAACGTCCCTCTCGAGAATTTTTGACTCATATGGAGATGCCACCACTTGCCGGTGGAGAGCTGCAATTTTTTTTTTTACTTATACTCGGCACCCATTGAGCAGAGAGGGGTCTTTTTTGAGCCAGCACTTATTGCGACCAGGCACCTTCGTTTATAGGTCTCATCCGAAGGACCGGTCTCCAAGTTTTTCGGTGGGATTCGAACCTGAATTCGATATGTGTAACCTTCCCCACTTTCCAAATTATACTTATATTAATGCTTCTTGATTGAGGTATGTGAGAAGCAAATGTTTAAGTGGATTTCGTGATCCTACAGAGTCAAAGCGGTATGGTTTGTTCTACTGTAAATCACTTTTTATTAGAAATTTATTTCCGCGTAACTAAGCGAGACAGTATGATCGCGAAAATTTCTCTCTCGCAAATATATAAGTACTCTTTACAGTTTTAAAGAACAATGACCACAATTCGTAAAAAAAAATTTTGTCATGCTAATAGTTACATGTAATGACTATCTCGCGAAAATAAGGTGTCTCGAAAATTAAGTGATCTAGTAATTTGAAAAAAAAATTGAATGATATGCGAAATATTGTTAGATAAATCGTTTTCCTCACAGACTTCGTCCTTATCTTAGATGAAGGTATGGAACTTGCACTTTCATACATGTTTTAGGATGAAAATGACATTCAAGACAAATTTGAGAGAAAATGAATAACGCACCCAGTGGGGAAAATGCAATTATTTTAATTTGGGTATGGGGAAATACTAATATGGATAAATATTAACATAACTTGATAAAAATATCATCAAACGATTACGACCTCACAATCAATTCATGAATAAAGTGGACAGCGTTTCTCGACATAATGAAATTTAATTGTAATAAAATAACAAATACAATCTGAATTGGTGATGAGAAAATTAATGAGTTTTACTTTGAAGGTATTTCACAAATATAGATTTTGGTTCACAATATTCATCTTGTAAAATAGGAAAAAGACTATTCAAGCCCATATAAACAATTTATCATCGATAGTATAATGTCTAAGTGTAGGGTTAATCTATCAGATTCAGAAATTACATTTACTACAGCAAAATTAATAACAGATTTATACACACCAGGTATTGAGTTTTTAAAAAAAATCAGTTGACTTTTTCACAGATTGAGCAGGAGTAAATTCTGAAAAAAAGTTTAATAGCTAGGTTGCTTTTTAATATTTTTTATTATATACGAGTATATATTTTGGTAAATGGCTAAAACCCCATTTCAATATTTCGTGTACATACAATAAAATAAGTTCAATGATGTTCAAAAATGTGAATATACATGTAAGTATACCGGGGTAGTTCATGTAATATGTGATGTAACAGATTGGTGTTTTTCAAACTTAATAGAACTCGTTCGATTATGACATATATTAATTATGCCTTTTTGCCTGGTATAATTCATTTTTAAATTTAACAATTTATATTTTTGAGACCGATTTCCTTGAAATCTAATAAAATTGCAGCGAGATATTTGTTAAACCACAAAGCATACACTGTAATTTACGTGTGTATTTGGCCTTTTTTTCCCCAAAATGTGTATGCACTAGTACGTATTACAGAGATTTGTGTTAGAGGGAAATTGGATACCCCAACATCCATCCACGTCCTTAAAATACTCAATGTGCCAACAATTTGCAATAATCTATTTCCACTCTTTATTTTGCTTAGTCAAACAGTCATTACGCAAATTGACTTTCACTATACTGTGTAACTGTACAACTTTCCACAAACAAAAGAAATTAGCAAGCTTCATATATTACGCATATAAAAATCACCCTGTGTATACTTTCATTTACTATCATTCCGGACACAAAAGTAAAAGGCGAGAAGTAATATTAATCTCCATGCAGTATAGGCCACTTCTGCAGCAGTGGGGAGATCTTATCTAAATTAAGCTTTACACATATTAGAGATTCGCAAGCACACAATGCCCGCTGAGTTATCAATCAGCCTGAGTCAGGTGCACACATACGGACAAACACCACCAAATGTTTTCCCATAGACTTCCATACAAACGTGAGCCCCTCTCACTGATACATATATTGAATTTCGGGCAAATGACCTTTTTGTCGTGAAAGTTCGAGATATTGGAAAACAAAACATGCCAGAAAAAATATATGGTCACGCGGCACTTTTACTTTCAATTTCCATTTGTTTACAACAAGGTGCGTTTGACACCAACTGAAAATCTCTAACCAAAGAGCACCCCTCCCTTCAAATTTTTACCTGTTACTCCTATATATCTCAAAGAAACCCAAGTCTTGATATGAGATTTTTATCAACTTTATTTCACTTGTCAAATACATAACAAGTCTTTTCTCTTATTGACCAATCACGCGCCAGGTAGCATTTTCTCCTCCGCACAACTTTGGGTGTCCAAAATGTCTGCGCCCATGTATTTGTTTATGTAGGGGTTTTTCCTATAGAGTAAAAGAAACATTTATAAAAAGTGATCAATTTGGTAAATTTAGAACATATATCCATTGCTTATCTCACCTCTTGAATATTGGGACTGACAGTCTTAGCTTAAGTACACCATTGGCTGTTACATTTCACACCCCAGTCAATCAGACCAACATCTGTGAAACAGAAAAGATGTCTATAAATTGAAGCATTTTTCTATTTTTCTTTCAAACTTTTAAAATAAAATGATTAATCTAGCACATGTTTTGCTTGTTTTTCTTATTATCTCTAATAATTTCTCAAGGTAGATCATATTAATCATTCAGGGTAGCAGGTACCCGTTATTAATGAAAAATGAAGAAAATCAGCAGGTTTTTGTAAGAAAAAGCTGGGTTATGGAAAGAGTGAAAACTAATGTAGATAAAATAATCGATGGAAAGAAAGAGAATTATATCTAGTTCAAATGTACATAAGATTAAAACAAACTAGTGCTAATTGTAACGGGGACCGTTACAGATGTTCCCCAAACGCTCCCCAACTCCCTTTTGGTGCCATATTCCCTGGAAGCTTCATTAAATAAGACAAACTCGATGCATTTGAGACTTAAAAACGTTTACCCAGAAGTGTACAAAGTTCATCAATTTTAGCATTGCACGCGTGCGCATGTAAATGCATGTGCGTAATGACCATATCATCTTGTCTACACAATCTATATATTTTAATATACTTAATATTAAAGTATTTAATACAAAAGAATTAAAAAGATACTCTCATTCAATTGTTTTTTTTTATTTTGCTTATTTCACGTGCACGCACGTGCATACATGAGCATGGTGACCATACCTTCTTTTAGATGTCCGTTACATCTATCTATGTTCTAAATCCCACACCGTTTGGTTGAAAACCAAGGGAGTTATAGCTGTTTAAAGTTTCAGCCAATCAGATTGCAGCGCACGTACACGCTCGTGTATGCATGTGATTAGTGGCCATACCTTCTTGTAGAAATCTACTATATCTATCTATGTTCCAAATCCCATCCTGTTTGGTTGAAAACCAAGGGAGTTATAGCTATTTAAAGTTTAAGCCAATCAGATTGCAGCGCACGTGCATGCACGTGTTTTCATGATAATTGCTATATATCATGTTGTAGGATATCCTAATGCATGGCTATTTTCAAAATTTCAAAGGATTTCGTCAAAAAACAAGAAAGATATTGAGACTTTAGTTTCAGCCAATCAGAGCAAAGCGCACGTGCATGCGCGTGAGATCTTGCTATTTTGACCATGTCATATTGTCTATGCTACTAATATATCCTTATATTATAAGTTTCAAAGCATTTCATCAAAAATTTAAAAAGTTACGCCTATATCAATTAAATCGGTCATTACACATGTTGCACGTGCATGCTCTTGCAAGCACGTGCGCGCAAAATGACCTTCGTTCCGCAAATCTACATAACATGTCTACTGACCCTAAAAACATTTCACCTTATTCGGATGTATAGTTTACGAGATCATTCCCGGACAAAAAAGTACCCAGGAAGAAGAAGAAGAAGAAAAATAATAATAATAATAATAAGAAACAGAGTAAAAACAATATGTTCCCCAACTTCGTTTGGGGAACATAATTCCATCAGCAGTGGGTTGCTGGCATCAGAGAATCAAATACATCCCCACTGAAAATTTTGTAATTTTGAAGGGGGGTGACCTACATTTTAGCCAATTTTCATGAACATTTCATGTAATTGATGTTGAATATGTATAATTATTCTCATAAAAGGCAAATATATTTATTTGCATATCATTTCTTATTATTGACATAATTAATAAATTGATTAAATGCCAAGGGCAGATAAATCATATTGTCTGACTGAATACAGTGCTCAATTGTACGCAAAGTGTTTAAATAACCGCAGTTCTGAGGAAATTTATTTTCTAATAATCTATAAAAAGTTCTAAATAACTTAAATATTAAGAGATTAACTAGATTTTCTACGAAAACCATACCTTGGAACTCTTAATGAAAGCAAAGGGATCATCCCGAGAGTGTCCATGTGTTGTTCATTGTAAGAGGGTAGGGTTCATTAATCTCTTCCTTCTTGATAATGCATTGCTGAAATACATTTTATTTTATTAAAACATACTAATAAATGCATCTAGTAGCTTATGTAATAATTTTTAATTATTTACACCATCTTTTGAAATTTTTTTAAGCATTTGTGATGTAATACCTTTAAGTACAGCTATTTGTAAGAACCAGGCAGGGGGTGATTCATGACCAATTCAGATTTTTACAAAATTTTAATATGTTGCTTCATGGACCAAGGGAACATCATTGGACAACATATTTTTTTTGGTCAGCCTTTGTTGCCATGGAAACAATGCACCATGTAAACGCACATGGCAACCAAGCAAAAAATTGAAAATATTGTGAATTTAGCTATTATTTAACGCAGGAACAGACCTCTTCTGATGAAAAAAATATAAATAAATCTTTTTTTCCTGAAAAGTACATACAAAATGATTAATAATTACCATAAGGATAAAATTATTCAGGATTTATAAAAGGTGCTGAACGTCAATTTAATATACAGTGTTTCATGAAATTCACTTTTTACAATATTTCTTAAAATCTAACATATTTTAGAAGCATATTAAGAAAAAGGCCCGCATGATAAAGAAATCTGATAACATGGAACAGAAAGAGCACATTCTTTATTTTAATAAAATGAAATAAAACCCATGGGTTTTTTTTAAATATTCTGTAACCATGGCAACGAAATATCAGAAAAATTCATTTTTTCACAAAAATATCCAGTTTTAGAAGTAAAGTGTAAAAAAAAAATTACACATGTTAAGGAAACCTGATAACATGGGATAAAAAGAACACATTCTCAATTTTAATAAGATTCAATTAAACCCAATTTTTTTTCAAAAATATTCTGTTACCATGGCAACCAAATATCACAATTTTTTCACAAAATAATCACTTTTAGAGGCATAGTAAGACAAAATTCACACATGTAAAGAAAATCTGATAACTTGGGATAGAAAGAGCACATCCTTAATTTTAATAAAATTCAGTTATACCCATGGGTTTTTAAAAAAAATATCCTGTTACCATGGCAATGAAATATCACAAAAATTCATTTTCAAAAATTACTCATTTTTAAAAGCATAGTTAGACAAAAATCACACATGTTAAAGATATCTGATAACATTGGATAGAAAGAACACATTCTTTATTTTAATAAAATTTAATAAAAACTATGCATTTAAATATTCTGTTACCATGGCAATGACATATCACAAAAATTCATTTTTCACCAAAATGACCTATTTTAGAAGCATATCCAGAAAAATACAACAAATTAAAAAAATCTGATTCCATAGAAAGAGCATATTCTTAATCTTAAAAAAATCAATATGCAGACATCTTTACCTGTATACAACCATACAATTCAAATCAATATGCAGATGTCTCTATCTGTATACAACCATACAATTCACATCAATATGCAGATGTCTCTACCTGTATACAGTCATACAATTTACATCAATATGCAGATGTCTCTACCCTTATACAACCATACAATTCACATCAATATGCAGATGTCTCTAGTATATACAGTCATACAATTCACATCAATATGCAGATGTCTCTAGTATATACAGTCATACAATTCACATCAATGTGCAGATGTCTCTAGTATATACAGTCATACAATTCACATCAATATGCAGACATCTCTAGTATATACAACCATACAATTCACATCAGTATGCAGATGTCTCTACTTGTATACAATCATACAATTCACATCAATATGCAGATGTCTCTACCTGTATACAATCATACAATTCACATCAATATGCAGATGTCTCTACCTGTATACAATCATACAATTCACATCAATATGCAGATGTCTCTACCTGTATACAATCATACAGTTCACATCAATATGCAGATGTCTCTATCTGTATACAATCAATATGCAGATGTCTCTACCTGTATACAATTATACAATTCACATCAATATGCAGACGTCTCTATCTGTATACAACCATACAATTCACATCAATATGCAGATGTCTCTAGTATATACAGTCATACAATTCACATCAATATGCAGACGTCTCTATCTGTATACAACCATACAATTCACATCAATATGCAGACGTCTCTATCTGTATACAACCATACAATTCACATCAATATGCAGACGTCTCTATCTGTATACAACCATACAATTCACATCAATATGCAGACGTCTCTATCTGTATACAATCATACAATTCACATCAATATGCAGACGTCTCTATCTGTATACAATCATACAATTCACATCAATATGCAGACGTCTCTATCTGTATACAACCATACAATTCACATCAATATGCAGATGTCTCTATCTGTATACAACCATACAATTCACATCAATATGCAGATGTCTCTACCTGTATACAACCATACAATTCACATCAATATGCAGACGTCTCTATCTGTATACAATCATACAATTCACATCAATATGCAGACGTCTCTACCTGTATACAACCATACAATTCACATCAATATGCAGACGTCTCTATCTGTATACAATTATACAATTCACATCAATATGCAGATGTCTCTACCTGTATACAACCATACAATTCACATCAATATGCAGATGTCTCTACCTGTATACAATCATACAATTCACATCAATATGCAGACGTCTCTATCTGTATACAACCATACAATTCACATCAATATGCAGACGTCTCTATCTGTATACAGTCATACAATTCACATCAATATGCAGATGTCCCTACCTGTATACAATCATACAATTCACATCAATATGCAGACGTCTCTATCTGTATACAGTCATACAATTCACATCAATATACAGATGTCTCTAGTATATACAGTCATACAATTCACATCAATATACAGATGTCTCTAGTATATACAGTCATACAATTCACATCAATATGCAGATGTCTCTACCTGTATACAATCATACAATTCACATCAATATGCAGATGTCTCTACCTGTATACAACCATACAATTCACATCAATATGCAGATGTTTCTACCTGTATACAACCATACAATTCACATCAATATGCAGATGTTTCTACCTGTATACAATCATACAGTTCACATCAATATGCAGATGTCTCTATCTGTATACAGTCATACAATTCACATCAATATGCAGATGTCTCTACCTGTATACAACCATACAATTCACATCAATATGCAGATGTCTCTATCTGTATACAGTCACACAATTCACATCACATAGTGCTACCATCTTCAAACAACAGCGTGTTTCTTATGTTTTCTCTCTCTTCTTCCTCTTCTATTGACTGCAAGATTTCTCTCAGTTGTTCATCATTCTCTTGTTCCTCCTTGAAACCACTGGCCTTTCCATTCAAAGAAAGTCTACCAAAATAAGAGTTTATCTGAGAAGGCTGCAGCCATTCTTCTGAAGTGAAAAACTTTTCCCCATTGCTATGTCTCAGTGATCTCATTTGCTGGGCCACTTCATTTGGATTAGCTTTTCTTCCTGATTTCTCACCTTCTTGGTACACTCGTATTAGAAATTCTTTAACTTTTACAGAAAAGCGGGCAAATTTTCTTGCCTTTTTTAGTGCCCATCCTTGGGGAAGCTTTTTTCTTGATGAATTTGAATCTTCAACTGAGTGAAGATCAGTGCCTATTTGTAGGACCTGCTTGGACATGAACAGATTTGAATGGCATGTCTCCGACCAAAGATGTCGAATTTCATCAAATGTAGAGCTTTTTTCCTGCACATGCCGATCCAACTCTATATGTTCTAGAAGATGCTGATAGGAGGAAAAATGCTGATTACAGCCTAATACGGAACAGTGGAAAATCTGTGGACAGTTTTCTTTTCTCTGAGAGGAGATACTTCCATACTGTGTCTGTGGCTCTTCTTCAAAGTCAGACAGTATGATAAGTCCTGTTTGACTTTGCTCAGTTTTCAAAGCATCCTCTCTCTTGATCTTCACACCAATGCCCACATTGAAGCCATACCAGGCTATGATGTCTTCCCCTTCAAAAGAAAGATTGCTGATAGAAGAGACGCCTTTGAAGCAATGACTTGTCATTGTTTGCTTCTTCTTATCAACCTCCACTACTGCACAATAACATCCCACAACACCACTTCCATCCATGATTGCGTTCTTCAAGTCAAATGGTGTTATTACATTTTTTCCTGATGAAACAAACATCCTTATTTTTGAGCGCATGTGTGAAATTTTGGAGTCACAATAACTTTTGCCTGCTTGGGCTTCACTAAAGTCATATCGTAGTATATTGATACCTATAGAAAGAAAAAAGTAATGCATCAAACTAAAATATGATTGTTATAGACATACATGCATGCAGTCAATAGCATTTAAAGTAAGTGAACTTTTACTGTTTATAGGGAGAATTTAAAAAAGGACAGTGTTAAATGTTTACACAACTGTGTCAAGGCAAATATAAAGCAAGACAAAATTGTTCTCTGATATGACAAAAGAATTGAGAAAATAAATATTTTTTATGTGTGAAAAATTCATGCAGGCAACTGATTGTCCACTTACCTGTTCTTTCACTAATTCCATGTAAACTCAGCCACAGGCATCCGCAGTGATAGCACCCAGCATTATCACTCCTTAGAAATACTTCTTCTACTTCTGGCCTTTGCACCCTTAAAGTCTGAAGGATATGCTCCAGAGCTGATGCGACAGCAAACCAATCTTGTTTGACTGCGCCAAAAATATGCGTGAATGTCTTGTGCTAAAAAAAAAATAAGATCAAACATTTTTAACATTTGACAATATAAAATTCTAAAAAAAAAAATATAGAATGCATCATATAAACTTATCTAAATATATTAGTAAAAATTTTGTCATCAATGTAAATTGCTGAGGAAGAGAGTACTTGATAATTTTTTATCAATCAGCAGCCTTGTATTCTGCAATCAATAATCCAAAAGAAAATTTGACAAAAAATCATGTTGATTCTGAATTTAATTACAGTTCTAAAATATTACCTGGGGCAAATGCAAACTAAAAATGTGAATATTGCTGAAATGTTCCAAAACAGATACATTCACAAAATAAAATGTATCAGGCATATGCTAATACCTTCAATGATCCATCTTCTGCTCTGAAAACAGCAACAGAAATGTGCCAGCTCATGCCTTTTTGACCAAAAAAGTCTGACTGCTTTTCTCTGTACATTGCTGGAATGAATTTCATAGCCCAGTCCATGATGATGAGTAGCTGATGAGGCTGAAGCTCTTCCAATATCTTGTATCTTCCTTCTTCTTGATTCTGGGTTCTAAGAATGTGAGCTTTCCAATCAGAAATTTTTTCAATTGCCTTCTCCACTCTAATTGATAATTCTTCCACCATTTCTGATGCTGTAAATAAGATATGACAAACCATAAATATGAAATTTCAACATTTGATTATCAAATTTTATGTTTAACAAAGAGCTAGGTTCACTTTATGCATAAAATGGCCCTGTACTTATATCAATTAATTACTATGGCCCTCTTTTCCATTTCATATATCAGAATAAAGTAGACACTTGGTGCTTTCATTTCATATAATAACATTTCTTTTTGAGAATCCAAATATTAGAAAACACGCTTTGGAAAATAGCAATGTTCTTGAAATTTGCAGAAAACATACATATTTGACTACTTTTAGCAAAGAATTAAAATATGAGCAAAGCCCATGATCCAAAAAATGAAACATGCTTTTTGATCTTCAGAAACAGATCTTTCATTATGTATTTGCATATTTTGGATCAGAGGTTGTGCTCTATATGAAATTTTGAAAAAATACTTCAACTTCAGGCCATTTTCGAAGGAAATTACAGGATATGGGGAAAATGACGCATTTTATTACATCATAATGCATTGACTAAAGGGAAAATTATGTCATGATTAATGGATACATGGTCACCAACACCCCAAGTGATGAATACTGCTTTTGCAACATAAACAAAGTCGTTTTGATTGTTCAGATATTCTCAGGACCTTTTAACGTACAAAGTGGCTCTTGCTCTTTAGTGTGGGACTGTCCAGTGGACGCCAAGACCACTGTTTTAAGTTCGCTCTTAGTCATCCAACTGATGCAAAAATAGTTATGCTCCTATTTACAGTTTTTAAAATTTCTTATCAATAAACTTACATCTGCTTTTCTGCACTTCCTCGAGAAAGCCACTGCTTATTTCTTCAATGAGGTTGCATTTTCTACAAAGTTCCTCATGTGCATGGTCACACTCTTCCTGGAGCAACACATTGGTTGGGTGACTCAGAGCGAACCTTAAACAGTGATCTTGACATTCACTAGACAGTCCTACACTGAATTTATATTCCGATTTTAGATATATCTTCAGGTTCTTTAAATTATTTGTCAAACTGGTTATGGTGTTCAATCCAGATCCAAATTCTTTTAAACGCTCACACATTTGTACAAGATCATCTACGGCTGCTGCACCATCAGTGGCAATATTATCAAGACCACATAAACTTGTTCTTTTACTAGCAGAGCAGGTAGACATGATCTTGTACAATGTTGAATCAGATAATGGAATAAAATCCATTTCCCCGCAGTATGATTTATACATGCTCAGTAAAGAAGAGTGACAGGTTGTTCTCACTACTTGTGGTATTGTGATTGTCTTTCCATTGTCACAATGCAGATCTCTGGTTCCATATGAACAAATCTGAAAGAATTTGGGATCTAAAAAAAATGACAATGCATGTTCAAGTTTTTCTCTATTCATGCGGTGTCTAAAAGCTGGTCCCACACTTACTGGTAAGGTGCCCGCGCCATGAGATGCTGCATGTAATCGACTTTGATCAATTTCCCACTTTGTTAGACCAGGAATAAGCTTTTGGAGTTCAGATTTACTGTGTGCGTTTGGTAACGATAAAAGAGACAGGAGTTGACGCTTTAGGGCATTATTTTCAGCCTCACAGTAGAGCTGAAGAATTGAATCTGTTATTTCAAGTTCTGTTTTATCATTTCGCTCATTCTTGTCCTGATGGTTGTCTTCAAGAAGTAAACCGAGCAGTTGTCTTGATTGTCCAGGGGCCATCTGATCTAGAATTGTGTGCACGGCATCCGTGGCCTTCCTTTTCAAATATCTCCTTGTACTGGCTTGAACTTCGTTCAAAGGTGTTTGCAGCTGATACTTCATTGGACTGATTTGACCACCACTTAGAGATGTAAGAGCATTGTTGAGGTTATCTATTCCATCAGTTAGCTGTTTCTGACCTTCTGAAGTGGTGCTCCAACTTGAATCCTGTGACAAACTGCAGGTGGTTGATTCCTCAGTCTAGAAATACATAATTTGAAAAATGAAATATTTCCATTTCTATTTTTTTTTCTGTGATAACTCTGTGAAAGTAAGCGGAGTTGATTTCTTGATGATTCTACCGGAATGTATATTCCGGTATGTCGATAGGCCAGGAGCTAAGAAGCCTTATATGCCTGCAAATCTTGAGCACATTTGTCTCTGATGCTAAGGAGGCCAAGTTTGCAAGTAAATCTCGTGTGACTGTCTTGGTGTTTGACATCAATGGGCGAGGTCTATTAAAATATTGGCAAGACAAATCTTGTGTAATTTTATTCTATATCTACATTTTGAAAATTTAAATCTACACTTTTATTTCACAAGAATTATCATGACAGATAATAAGGGTATTTGAATTATTTCTAATGAAATGGAAATTTAAGGATTTGCCTGTTATGCAAATTATCCCATGTTTCTCACTAGCATTGATGCCCTGGCATACTATACTAACTAGACAGATATTCCTTAAATAAGTCAGACAAAATAAATTCTTTTCCTTTTTCAAAGCAGTTATAGTGTTTTCAATGTTTCATGAAGAAAATATGTGTAACTTTTTAAAGATCTATTAGGTGCTAAAGTTTGCTTCACATCTGCAACATTTAAGTCACACAGCTATATATTTGGCCTTTGAACTATGACTGGGAATACCAACAAGAGACTTAAGGGGCACGAGCCTCAATGGTTTTACTGAAAACAATGTGCCAAGTGTATGCCGAGAAAAGGGGCTCTTGTTTTTTCATATTGAAACTGGAGTTTACCAGTGATCCTCAGTATACCTACAGAAGGGGAGAAATCAGTTTCCAAATGAAAATTTGAATTGTTAATGTACAGCAAAGAATTATCCTTAAAGTAAGTGAGACACAGAAGCCCCCCCCCCCCCCCCCCACCAAACACCTATCCACCCCCACCCCACCACCACACACACCTTGCATGTGCTTGAGGTAAAATATTTTATATCTTCTGTAACTTGTTGAGTAGAATTCCTACTGATTTACTTTGCAGAGAGTAATTAAATCTTCAAAATAAATACCTGTGACAAAGTCTCTGAATTGCAATCTTCACTGTAATTATCATTTTTTGGTCGTAGTCTCCTGGATTGCTGAAAAAAATATTAATATCATGATAGATAATAAGGCTATTTGAACTATTTCAAATGAATGCCAAGCAAATGGGCTTGGGGAAACTCAATTTTCTCTGTATCAAAATGTATCAAGATATTGGAGCCACAATACAATGTGCAATACAAAATATTGATATTGTTAAAAATTGATATGGTTATAATTTTTTTGTATATAAATGAACAAAACAACTCGTTCCAGGAAAAAAACCCATTTTTAATTAGAAATGGTATTTCTTTAATGTATTCAGGATATTTATTGTAAATAATAAACTCAAAATGAAAATGAAGAAAGAAAATCAGATTTCGTTTTGCAATATTTCCTCATTTGTATATGGTATGCGTATTATCCTCACACAGAATTTAAATTGCATGTATTGATATCCTATCCTACAAGCCATTACCATATTTTACATGAAAATATAAGATACAATGCATTAATATTTGAATATGAAATGAAAATTGAGAAGTAAATTGATATTTAAATGTTTTACTTTACTTTAACAAGAGGCCCGTGGGCCTCTTGGGTCACCTGAGTATCATGTAACAACTTTCAAACAATTGAATTTGATTTGTGTTAAATGCCATGAAATTTACAATTTTGAATGGGGCATCATTGCTTATCATATCTATACACTTAGCATGCTTACTTTAGTTACTTTATACTCAGACGTAGATCAGAGTAACATATAGAAAATGCATTTTAACTTCATTAGTTGTGCACCCCATCCAACAGGATTGAACCACTGATCCAGGGGCCACTTCTTTCAAAATTTAGGAAATTTTATAAATTTTATTTCATCATGTTGTTGATTGAAATTCACAATTTTGAGAGAGGGATCCTTATTCAACATTACTATGTACTTAGTTAGTTTATTTAATGCCCAGGAGCAGAAAAGAAGAACCTAAAAAAATATGCATTTCACTATATAATCTTTATAGCCCAATCGTAGCACTAGAACCACTGACCCTAGGGCCATGAAATTCAAAAATTTGGAAGAGGAATCCTTATTCCACATAACTATGTACTTGGTTAGACAGTTTATTTAATGCCTATGAGCAGAGAAAAAAGAATTTCAAAGCATTTATGCATTTTCACTATATAATCTTTATAGCCCTGCCCTAGCACTAGAACCCCTGACCCTGGGGCCATGAAATTCAAAATTTTGGAAGAGGCAGCCATGTGCTTGGTTAGTTTATTAAAAGCCCAGGAGCAGCATTTATTTTAGTGGGTTTGCCCCCCCCCCCCCCAGGCTCAAGGGGGAGGGGGGGGCAAAGACCATGAAATTCACAATTTTTTGTTCAATTCATCCATAGATGCTATATGCCAGAATTGGTCGATGGTTCAGTGTTAAAAGAGAAGGAGCTGAAATGTTCAAATGTTAACACAGTCGATGCACGACAACGGACAAAATCAGATAGCAATAGGTCACCTGAGTTGACCTAAAAATCCGGTATTTCAATAAAATTTTGGTACATGTATTACCTCAGCTGTGTCATTCTGGGCCTTTTTGGAGTTAGAAGCAAGGAGTTCTTTTTGACAACACTGAAATATATCATAACATATATTTTAGGTCATTTTACAGCAGAACAGTACATTATATAAATATTACATGTAGTTGAGAGTGTAACATTGAAAATTTTAATTTTAAGAAAACCACTGTAAACAGAGGTGCAGTCGAATACATGCAGTATTTATTATATTATACTTATAGTGTTTTTTAACAAAGGTTTTCTCGAATCAGATTCAACTAATTTACATGAAAGTACACTATATTAAATCATTGCATGGTATTTCCACATTCTATGCTGAGTTTGAAAATTGTTGAAGATAGAGAATTCAGATCTATGAATGCTGTTCATGTAATGAACTGGTATAATTTGAGCGTACTACTACTTGGGAGAGTACATATATAATACATGCAAATATATTATTTATAACTAACTGCTGTGAATTAGACTAGTACGTGGTACATGGTGTATATAACTTATATCATTATATGCTGAATTCAAGGCTACAGGCATAGATGAACATGCTACATACAAGGGCATGTTGACTGCATGGACACTTATTAGATTTCCTTTCTACAGATGCAATTTGTGTTCAAGTATGAAATGTATATAAAATGTAATTGATCAATGTTTGAATTTTTTCTACCTAACAAATTGTAAATTTATACATGTTTGCATTTTCAAACATGATTATCCAATGGATCTATTAAGTTTTTATTAAACCCAGGTAATTTTTACTTTGCAGACTTTATTTAGATTTTAATTTAACAGAAAAGGCTTTGAAAAAGATATAATCAGTATTTAATATTTTGCCCTTTGTAAATCTTACCTCAAATGATTTCATTTCATCACTTAGGTTTTTACGGCATTTACTGCATAAACCTATTAAAATAAAATGTAAAGGACATCTAGAGTAACATGTTAATTTAAATATAATTTATCACTATATCTACTTTCAATGAAAATCCCCTAGTCAATAAAAAGATATGTAAAATGATCATAAGAATTTAGGAAAAGAAATTAAATAGAAACGTAAGTAATATTTTCAGGTGACAATTTCAAAAATAGGGATCATATGTTATATACAAGAAATATAAATGAATTATGTTGTGTTAGAAAAATAAGAATTGTGTTGTCAAGAGAAAGGTAGTTTGTTATATTTTGTTAATACTATATCCGAAAATTTGAGAATTTTGATTAAGTTGTAATTCAAGAGGCAGGACTATACTACTTGCAATTGGGGGCTGACTTGGGTACTTGTTAGTTTGATTACATCATATTTTTTAAAAACGCAATGCTGAAACATAATAATTGCTAATTGACCTAGACAGAGCATATTTACTAGGTAACTGACTGCATAAGAGAGAATATCAATACGCAGTCACAAATGTAGTATATTAAGTCATTACAGTTCATCATTACTGTGTAAGTGTATATTAGTCACTTGGCTAGTTTATACAAGACAGGTGTCAGCATCGATACAAGGCCAATTGTCAAGAGGCACCAGACAGGTGACATTTGATGTAAATAAAGGAAATTTGAAAATGGGAATGGCCTTATACGGCATAGGGGCTTGCCTTCCTGATTGATAAATGTAAAATAATTCTTAAAAAATCTGTATCTTCATAAAATACACTCCCTCTAAAAGTTGCTTTATTAAAGATTCTGTCATGATCAGGCGAGAAAAATAATGTTTAAAAAAAGTACTGCACCTTGAGAGTTTAAGTATATAGATGTAATACTATTTTTAAAAACATTATTTTTCTCGCCTGATCATTTCAGAATCTTTATCAAAGGAACTTTTAGAGTGTATTTAATGTAGATACAGATTTAAAAAAAATATTTTACATTTATCAATCTGGAAGACAAGCCCCTATGCTATACGGGGCAGTAGAAAATCCCTGTAGATTCAATAATTTTTACATGGAACATGTGGAGTGTGAACAAACAATATAAGCATTTTATTAGATGTTTAATGTTACAATTAAGGGATGTAATGTATTACCTGAGCCAACAGGAATGACACTTCCATACACTGTATAGAAGTGCCTTGACATTGAAACTGTAATGCTCCTCCCGACCTCGGCTTTGGCCTTTGAATTGTGCCTTGGGTGTGAGCACGAAGTTTTCTTCCTCCATCTTACACCAAGGGAGTATCGGTGGAAGGGGCAGATTAAATAATCCTCGGCCGTGGTAAAAATGCCAGCTCGGAGGCATATTAAATGCCCCTCTGATGCTATATTTCCAATATTTAAAAATTTAAGATGGTTTGTAATGTCTTTGTTGCAGTTTTTTATAAGAATCAAATTGTTTTCTTCTGGACAATGAGGTGAAACTCCACACTCAGACAAAAAAGAAAAACTACAGGACAAATGGTTGTCCATAAAGATCTTTTTTTGATGAAATATATATGTCAATCTCTACTTATTGTAAGTATATAAGTCTCTAAGTACCTGTTCAAAGTCATAATAAACAAAAATCAACCTCTTATCTCCTTCTACACAGAAGAGTGAAATGCATCATTTTCGACTTCTTTACAGAAGAGTGCCAAGGGAGATAACTAGAATTTCATGTTTTTACATAATTTAAAATCACTGTATCTATTCGTAGTTAAAATAACCCATGGGTTTTTTAAATGTTTTTTACTCTTTGACACTGGATGTTCAATATTTTATAATTCACATTCAATGAGAGTGCGGGCTTTTTTAAAAAATCACCTGCACGTACAGACACCTTTCAATGGATATTGTTGACTGTTTCAGTATATATTGAATTCATTTTTTAATCAACCGTGCATAAAATCCATTTATAACTGTGATTAAGTATTTAGTTTGATGTATCTTAATGTAAATATGAGGGTTTTTGAAAAATCTATCACTATCATGAATCACTTATTTTTATTTCTGCCTGGTTCTTATAAATAGCTGTACTTAAAATAAACATGTTAAAATAGAATTTACTCAGATAATTATTTCAAAAAATATCAAAGAAATTGAAAAAAAATAACTGCAGATAAATATGACTCTTGTTATTCAAATAAACCCAATTTAAACAAAAATCCTTCATTTTTCAGCATGATTAGAGCACAAAATTACCCCCCCCCCTTTTCAGCAGAATATCAAGATTGGATATGGCAAAAAGGAGGGATATTCAGACACCTTTTTCATAATTTTTTTAGTTATAATTTTGCATATTTATTGCATTTTCAATGTATTTTCTGCACAAATATATTGTACTGTAATTTCAATTAAATTTCCTACAAGTAATCTCTAAGTTTCACCAAAAGTATAACTTTTTTTCAAGCCAGCACTGATTACATGACTGAAACTGGCTTTTCTGCTGGATTATGCCCCTTATGTAAAAACAAAGTCACCTAATTAGTTAACAACAGTCAAATTTTGTTATAAATTATTCAATCAACTCTGATTAACACAAATTTGAAAGAGGATTACTCAATCTGTTCCAATGTCTACACTCATAAAATACATGGATTTAAATGAATTTCTCAAACTGCGAGGGGGATATTCATATGTTTTGTGTATTGATGATGCCCATAAATATCGATATTGTATTATCTACAATATTCACAGTAAATTTCAGCATAAATATTTATTTAAAACTATTTACATGTACATTTATTGAAAATATGAGAGCTAGGGCAAAATTTTGGCATTTTTTTTTTACTATGTGCAGTCCCTATCGTGAGCCTCAATTTACCCAAACCCTCTAATTTTTAAACAAATAGTTAAAACTAACTAAAATATAATCTCAATGCCAAAAAAATAGGAACTGATTGATTTTTTGGCTGTAATCAATGTTTATCGATGAAATCATACCTTTTCTATAGGACAAACACCACCAAATGTTTTCCCATAGACTTCCATACAAACGTGAGCCCCTCTCACTGATACATATATTGAATTTCGGGCAAATGACCTTTTTGTCGTGAAAGTTCGAGATATTGGAAAACAAAACATGCCAGAAAAAATATATGGTCACGCGGCACTTTTACTTTCAATTTCCATTTGTTTACAACAAGGTGCGTTTGACACCAACTGAAAATCTCTAACCAAAGAGCACCCCTCCCTTCAAATTTTTACCTGTTACTCCTATATATCTCAAAGAAACCCAAGTCTTGATATGAGATTTTTATCAACTTTATTTCACTTGTCAAATACATAACAAGTCTTTTCTCTTATTGACCAATCACGCGCCAGGTAGCATTTTCTCCTCCGCACAACTTTGGGTGTCCAAAATGTCTGCGCCCATGTATTTGTTTATGTAGGGGTTTTTCCATACACATGCATTGTAAACAAAACGGCTAGGCTAGACATGAAGTTTTGTTCTCTGTATTCCAATTTGACCTTAACTTTTATAGTACATCTGATTATTAAGCCCACTATTTTATTGTCTATGTACATTATACTGTATCAAAACTTTTTTCTGTTTTTAACCACCAGAATACCATCATGTTTTCTCATCATATTGCAGAAGCTTTGTTAGTAGGGAATTTCCTGTCTTAAAATTAGAATACTTGCACAATGTATGAATGCATATCGGAATCGGTATGATTATTTAGGTGACAGATGCTTAAGAAGAAATGAAAATGACAGACTAAAGTTGAATACAGTGATTGTGGACTACATTGTCAAGAATTATAATTCCTTTATTGTAAGTTTAATGAGGAACTATTTTCTTATTCGCAATGATCATTTTCCTTGGCGGCTGTTTGTCAGTTGCACTTCCTGTCTTGGCCCACTGACATAGACTCGTTGATATAATCAACTCCCAAAAAGGAAAAAAAAAGTACGATACGATGGATACTCAAAATTTGAGTCTAGAAAGTATGCACATGTATTTTATAGACCATTGCATGCACACGAGCCAGTGTTTACCATAACTTTGTATAAGATATGACTTTTATATAAAGAATGTTGCTTTTATATCTAATTTATATCGAATCTAGGCTATTTGTTTAACATAAATTTTCCGTTTTCCGTTCCGTTCCGCTTTCCGTTCCGTTTTCCGTTCCGCGTTTTAGCAACACCCATGTATATAGGTGTGGTACGTCTTTTTTAAACGTGGTTTTTCTTGCCTGAAAAGTGTCAGGATCTTTATTTTAACAACTTTTAAGTGTATTTAAAGAAGATTCAAAATTTTTAGAATTTATTTTACATTTAACAATCAAATTTATTTTACATTTAACAATCCGGAAGACAAGCCCCTATGTACTTTACTTCTTACATGCTGTTACTATTTTTGGTATAGAGGAAAAACTCTCATTGAATCTCACGCCAATTAAAAATAACTCCCCTATTAAAATCTACTGTGTAATGTCACTTCTGTACTCTTTTTTCCTGTCTATGATGTATACAAACCTTATTCAAAAGTATTTATTATATATCCGTGCGCCGGTTACGCGTTTGACGACGTCATTTTCAAACTCAATTCCAACAACACCTTGAAAATCATGACACCAATCGTTTGTTTCCAATGCTATTTATATGAAAGTTTGACATCTTATTAAGATTTTGATTCTGATTTCACTGATTTAAATTTGAGTTCAATGTTTTAAATAGTACTAAAGAAACAAGAGGCCCACGGGCCTTATAGGTCACCTGAGTATCGTGTAACAACTTTCAAACAAATAACTTTGGTTCGTGTTTTAAACAAGAGGCCATGAAATTTACAATTCATAATTTTGAAAGAGGCACCATTGCTTAGCATAATTATAAACTTAGCATGCTTACTCTATTAATTAATACTCAGAGGTTGATCTGAGTAACAAAGTGCTACTGAAGTCATCATGACATCATCACTTTAAAGAATTATCGCTGGGGCCATAAAATTCACAGTTTTGGAAGAGGCACTCTTGCTCATCATAACTATGTACTTAGTTAGTTTATTTAATACCCAGGAGCAGAGAAGATTTTAAAAGAAATAATGCATTTTTACTATATAATCTATATAGCCCCGCCATAGCACTAGAAACCCTGACCCTGGGGCCATGAATTTCAAAATTTTGGAAGAGGACTCAATGCTCAATACATTCATGCCAACAGTGTGCCTACTTGATGTCCAGGAGTAAAGGAGAAGATTTTTAAAGATTGCAATAATTCTAGTGGTTTTGGCCCCACCCCCAGGCCCCAGGGGGGCAGGGACCATGAAATTCACAATTTATGTTCCCCTTCACCCATAGATGCTGTATACCAAATTTGGTTGAAATTGGTTCAGTGGTTTCAGAGAAGAAGCTGAAAATGTTCAAATGTTAACACACGACGGACGACGACGGACAAAAACAGATAGCAATAGGTCACCTGAGTTACTCAGGTGACCTAATAAAAGCAAATGTAATAGTTATATGCGTAAATTTTTCCGAATTTTCTCCGTGCACCGACAGACCTTATCGGCCACCATTTAAATCGTCCTAATATTATTAATATGAAAGATGTATATTTAAAAATCTACAATTTTAAAGAGCATTGATTATATTATATCTATGCAAAATTTTGTTAGTATTGGTTGCATGTTTAAAAAGTTATAAACATTGTCTACGACTTTTTGGGACAACCCTCGTATGTCCTGCCAAAAAAAAGTGAAAAATTCGCAGGTGAAACCATCTCGTCCAGGGCTTTTCTCATTTTTCATATTCGTAAGTGCCATCATTACAAGAGCACTAGACAACTCATATGAATTATCACATTTTACTGAATCAAATAAGTTAGGCATAATAACTTGCACACCCAAACAGAAAACTAAAACAATTCTTATAAAACTATCGCCCAACCAGTTTGTTGAATGTGATTTATGAAATAGCCTCAGGCTGTAATGCTGAACGATTGAAAATCCTGTTGAATAAAATAATGAATATACAGATTCCAAGCTTATTAATGATAATTGACTTTTTAAAAAGTTTTTTGACACTATATCATGGAAGTTTATCAAACATAAGATTTTTTTTTTAATTTTGGGGAATCCATTAAGAATTGGCGAGTTAGAATGGAATAATATATTTGAACTACCATTTGAAGTCACAAAAAAGGGCAAAATTCCAGTGGATGCAATATCAAATTCTGCACAGGAATATTGCAACAAATAAATACAATTATAAACTTAAACTAATTGATTCACTTGTTTGTCCATTATGTAAACAAGAAGTTGAAACAATTAAACATTTATTTTTGAGTATTTCTGTGTAAAAAAAATATGGTGTTTATTATTATTAATTTTGATAGACAGGATATACTGTTTGGGAAACTCAACAGTACAAACATGTTTAGAATACACAATATAATAAAACTTCCTGTTAAACAATTTATTTTTGCCAGTAGGTTTTAAAATGTATTTAAATTAAGTATTGCAACGCTAGAAAAAAATAGTATAGATAGAATATTAGTTGAAAAAGCTATAATACCTGAAAGAAAATGTAAAGAAAGTGGGCGCACTAGATGGGCAGTCGGCAGGAATCATTGACACGAAACAATTCAGATTTAAATGTCCAAGCACCATGTAGTTTCAATGCGTATCTTATACATCTTATAGAAACTGCATGGGATTGGATTTCTGTCTTATGTTTGTTTATTTGTAAATAATTTTTTCAATTATAAGGTGTCAAGAAAGATAAATTATCTAATATATAGTATGCTGGATACATCAGCTGTACATTTACATGATTGTAATAGAATATACACTGTAATAGAAGTCTAACACTTAATAATTTTTGTGCTCAGTTTTCAAATGCACTAAAATATTGAATGTAACAGAACGATTGAAGTTGCTAGTTTTTTTAATATATCAATATTTTTTCATCAGGTGTAACTTTGTAGTTACAGGTTCATGTATGTTTATTTCCATTTGAGAACGTTAGCACTATAAAAGACAAAATGTAAACGCAATGAAATATAAAACAATGTAAAATAATTTATAAAACATAATTTGCAACTTTATTCAAGGAGTATTTAAAATTCAAAAATTTCAAGCTCAAAGAAAAATAAAATAAAAGAAATCCCTGTATTCGAACCTAAGCTACTGCTTCGATATGGCTCGAATCCAGCGACAAACCAATGTAGCTACCGCGGAACACTATACATAGCTTGTATTTAAATCATTATTTAAAGCCAAAGCCCTATACATTTGGACTTTGTCAATTTTCTACCAGAAAATTAATGTAAAAAGTTTAGATTTTAGTATTTCTGGGTCGTCTCTCCATTTTTCAAACAACTGGAAAAAAATTTTACGGTTAAAAATACACTGATAACACATTTAAAATTCATGGAGAGAAGACCCAGAAACAACGAAATTAATGAAAAACGGCTATAAAAGAGTCGATTTTTTCATCATTTTACTCCTACGGCTATATTAAGGTGCATATTAAAATAAAATAAAACATATTTAAATGAATATTTGCCCATTTTACATTTACCAACAACACAGTAATAGGCTAGGTTTTGAAAAAATGTATAAATCAATGGTATTTTTTTTAATTCTTTTTATGAGCCACTATTCCTGCCGAATCGCCATCTAAAGCGCCCATTTTCTTTTCAGAATATGAAAAATACTGGGAAATTATTTGTGATATGCTATAATGCATTGTATTTATTTTTCCGAATTTATATTCAAATGTACAATTATGTTAAAATAATGAATATCCCCCCCCCCAACTTAACTAATTTTTTTTGTGTGTTTACCCTCCTCCACCCCTCCCCCCTTTTTTAGCTCTACTGGTCAGAGACCAGAAGAGCTTATGCGATAGTAATGCGTCCGGCGTCCGTCCGTCTGTCTGTCTGTCTGTCTGTCTGTCTGTCCGTCTGTCTGTCCGTCTGTCTGTAAACAATTTTTCAAAACGCTACTCCTTCTACAGTTTTGGTCTGATTTCAGTATAACTTGGCACACAAGTAGACTACACTAAGATACATAAAATAGTGCATCGGATTTTGATTTCGATGAACGATGTTGCCATGGTAACTAAAAATAGAATTTTCTGTGAAATTCCTTTAAAACGCTACTCCTCCTACAGTTTGGATCTGATTTCAATATAACTTGGCACACAAGTAGACTACACTAAGATACAAAAAATAGTGCATCGGTTTTTTATTTCAATGAACAGTGTTGCCATGGTTACTAAAAATAGAATTTTCTGTAAAATTCCTTTAAAACGCTACTCCTCCTACAGTTTGGGTCTGATTTCAGTATAACTTGGCACACAAGTAGACTACACTAATATACATAAAATAGTGCATCGGTTTTTGAATTCCATGAACGGTGTTGCCATTGTTACTAAAAATAGAATTTTCTGAGAAATTCCTTTAAAATGCTACTTTTCCTCAAGTTTTGATCTGATTTCAATATAACTTGGCAAACAAGTAGATTACACTAAGATGCATAAATAATGAATCGGTTTTTGATTTCAATGAACGGTGTTGCTGTGGTAACTAAAAATAGAATTTTCTGTGAAATTCCTTTAAAACGCTACTCCTCCTACAGTTTTAATCTGATTTCAATATAACTTGGCACAGAAGTAGACTACACTAAGATACATAAAATAGTGCATTTTTTTTTATTTCGATAAACGGTGTTGCCATGGTTACTAAAAATAGAATTTTCTATGAAATTCCTTTTAAACGCTACTATTTCTACTTTTGTCTTCAGTTTTGGTCTTATTTCAATATTACTTGGCACACAAGTAGACTACACTAATACACATATTAAAATAGTGCATCGGTTTTTGATTTCGATGAATGGTGTTGCCATTGTTACTAAAAATAGAAATGTCTGTGAAATTCCTTTAAAATGCTACTCCTTCTACAGTTTTGGTCTAATGACAATGGCTTCTTTTCTCATCCTTTGTTATAAGTACAAACCAGTAGAGCTACAGTCTCGACAGAGACTTCTGGTTTACTTCTTTGCAGATAAAGCTTTCACAGTGAAGATTTATATAATACATGAATGTCATATATTTTTTGCAGCTTTTTGAAATGAACATGTATTTGTACTTACCAAAGAGGGATTGTATTCATTGTATGATATGAATTACTAGGGAGAAGAATTGAAAGTATGTATTGAATGTAAACTACATAAGTAATATATTGTACAGTCTGTTAATGTAATTTAAAGCAAAAATAAAATCTATGAAATAAAAAAAAACAAGTGACAATTGAATGGAAAATGTTTATAAGAAATGAAAATTCAAAACTAAAAAATAATTGGAATATAGATTCAATTGCAAGAGTTCCCTTGACTCAAAACACTAAGGAACGTTTAAGCATATTTTTTTTTTAAAAGACAAAAACTTATAGAGAATGTAATTAAAAACTTAAAAAATCATTTTTAAAAACTATACACAAAACAAGATACAGTAATGTGATAGTGCCAGGCTATAAAATAATAAAGCGAACCTATACAATTTGTCCCTAGCAGAAAACAGCCACGACACAATGGAGGTTTATTTTTTTGTGTAGTATTTCATCAGAGAGTGGTATGATGAGCCTGTTTAAGCAATAAATATACAATCAAACCATTTGAATGACCGATGTCTTTCTATCAAATTCTGATACATATTTCAAACGCTATTTTCTTCATCTGTCATGTAGAGTAATTAAAAAAATTGTCAATTAATTGGCCCTTTATACTGAAGCAACAAAAACGTCAACTTCACAAAGGCTCAAAATTTCGGTGATCAAGGCGATTTCAACGTAGCGTCCAGTAGTGGAGGGCGGGCAATCAATAGTGACCAGTTCACCAAGAGTTCCAGGACCAGCATAGAAACCACAGAGTGTTGAGATATTTGACACGGTCTCTCCGGTTCTGATGGAAACATTACGAAGGCGATCAGACACATCTGTATATATTCAAAAAAAGAAAACAGCAAAATATAAACGTTTTTGATTGTAGAGAAATCTTGAAACATGGTAAGAATTTCAACTTTATAAAGAATGTTAAGGATTGAGATTTGGTTTAGAACAAAAATTGAAAATATATATTAACGAAACGAATACGAGCGGTAAAGAAATAAAAATTAGACATTTTTAACTAAAGCTCCAATCAGATACATAATATTTAAAACAATTCTTTTCGGACCCGATGTGTGCCCTTTCCAAATATTTACAAAACCTGTCATATTTTTTCTAATGAAATACTGTAGTACTTCGTTTTATTATAAATAGCAACCTTATTGGACAAAGGTCTTATACAAAAATGGGGAAAATTTGAAAAAAAAATTTAAACGTTATCTGGAGAATTGAATGTACACAATACGGACGTATTGCCTGACGCCACGAGCGTCAGACAGCATAATGGTCAATTTTTCCATGGCCCGGAACTAAGAGACTGTAAGCTAGGTTTTGTGCAAGCTGATTGACATAGGAATTTTATCTGCATCAGCTTGCAGAAGAAACAATCATAATTATGAAGCAAAATATTGATTTTTTACTTGCTTCAGGTTTTTTTTCAACTCCGCCATATTGGAGGTCGACTCGGTGACTTTTCCTCTTTGTCTTACATGTACCAAGTTTAAGAAAATATAGCAGCAATATTTGGTGGAAAATATTTATTAAATAATTTTTTTAAATAAAGGAGGCTTCCAAAAATTTATATACTTCAGAAAAATAATGATTCCTAAATTGGTTGAACAATGAAGGAATATGAGCATTTGGACCTCCAGTATGGCGGCCAACGGGAGGTAACTTTTGCTAAAAGGTCCATCGAAAACTCTCTATATGTACATATCCTTGTAACAGTTTCTCTGCGTTTCTAAACTGTTTGTCTTTTACGAAAATTGTGTCTAATGCGAAATATAAACGTCATAGCCCCACCCACTCAATAGTTATTGGCTAGGTTAAAGTTGAAAAACAGAAAGACAGCATAAAAACAATTTACCGATTTTATCGATCCGGGGGTATACAAAATTATGTTTTGTATAGAGTCATTAAAATATAACGTATGGAAATGCTTTAAATGTATTATAAATGTAGGTTCTGAGGTATTTCAACAAACTTAAATCAACACTTCCTTAGAATGCTTTTGTGACACATTATGGTTTCGTTGCTTATAGGATAATTTTTTTTATTGCTATAGCCTTTGTATTCCTTTGTCCACTTTATGGCTCCTCTGAGTATTCTTCTGAATTTCAAATGTACATTACTTTTTTTATGCTTTTAAATTGATGATCAATCATCATGATGGCTTTTTGAAGAATTTTACCTATTTTTACCATGCATTCCTACGTAAAAACTTGGTCACCTATTGTGGCCCCACCCTTGCCAAAGGGGTAATGATTTGAATAAACTTGAATCAACACTACACAAATATACATGGACCATTGCTTCCAAATTTTTCAATTACAAAAAAACTTTACATGGCCTGGATACCGAGTATCTGAAACATAATCCTCCATCGTGTTCATGTTCTTCGCCATATAACTATAGTTCTGCTGGATACGTTGTTACAGGTGACGTAAATATAGTTAATACATGAAATGAGGACCTTAAATCACTTATTTTAAAAGGTCCTAAATATAGGGAAATCAGATCCTTGAGAAGATTTTCCCTAAGTTTTCCTTTCTTTAACTTTAATCCCACATTGTGCCCCCCCCCCCCCCCCCCCACCGCTTGTTAAGTTCATGATTTGAACAACCTTGAATCTACACTCTCAGAGGATACTTAAATATAACTATGACCAAACACGGCTTTGCAGTTCTTGAAAAAAAAATGTTTTTAAGATTTTTAGCTCTACTGGTCAGAGACCTGCTGCCCTTTTCACAAAGAATCTTACGACTAAGACTAAAACTTTCCCCCTTCCTACAGCAATATATTAGCTGCGAAAATCTTATTTTTCTGTTACATTATATTGATATTTTATGATTGCATTTTCATTAATTATTTAGAAAAAATATATTTTTATCTAATAAAAAATTACAGAGTGGTGAAATTTTAGTCTTAGTCGTAAGATTTTTTGTGAAAAGGACCACAGAAGAGCTTATGCGATAGTAATGCGTCCGGCGTCCGTCCGTCTGTCTGTCTGTCTGTCTGTCTGTAAACAATTTTATCAAAATGCTACTCCTCCTACAGTTTTGATCTGATTTCAATATAACTTGGCATATAAGTAGATTACACTAAGATACATAATTCTGTGTATCGGTTTTTGATTTCGACGAACGGTGTTGGCGTTGTTACTAAAAATAGAAATTTCTGTGCTATTCTTTCAAAATGCTACTCCTCCTACAAATTTGGTCTGATTTCAATATAACTTGGCACACAAGTAGACTACACTAAGATACATAATTCTGTGTATCGGTTTTTGATTTCGACGAACGATGTTGGCGTTGTTACTAAAAATAGAAATTTCTGTGAAATTCTTTCAAAATGCTACTCCTCCTACAGTTTTGGTCTGACTTCAATATAACTTGGCACACAAGTAGACTACACTAAGATACATATTTCTATGTATTGGTTTTTGATTTCGACGAACGGTGTTGCCGTTGTTACTAAAAATAGAAATTTCTGTGAAATTCTTTCAAAATGCTACTCCACCTACAGTTTTGGTCTGATTTCAATATAACTTGGCATATAAGTAGACTACACTAAGATACATAATTCTGTGTATCGGTTTTTGATTTCGACGAACGGTGTTGGTGTTGTTACTAAAAATAGAAATTTCTTTGAAATTCTTTCAAAATGCTATTCCTCCTACAGTTTTGGTATGATTTCAATATAACTTGGCACTCAAGTAGACTACACTAAGGTACATATTTCTGTGTATTGGTTTTTGATTTCGACGAACGGTGTTGGCGTTGTTACTAAAAATAGAAATTTCTGTGAAATTCTTTCAAAATGCTACTCCACCTACAGTTTTGGTCTGATTTCAATATAACTTGGCATATAAGTAGACTACACTAAGATACATGATTCTGTATATCGGTTTTTGATTTCGACGAACGGTGTTGGTGTTGTTACTAAAAATAGAAATTTCTGTGAAATTCTTTCAAAATGCTATTCCTCCTACAGTTTTGGTATGATTTCAATATAACTTGGCACTCAAGTAGACTACACTAAGGTACATAATTCTTTATATCCGTTTTTGACTTCAATGAACATTATTACCTTGGTTAATAAAGATAGCAATTTCTGTTACTCTCAAATTTGCTACTTCAAATACAGTTTTAGTCTGATTATAATATAATGTGGCTTGCAAGTAGACTACACTAAGAACATAAAGAGACTTATTCAAGGATCATTATTCTCTTTTTTGCCTGTGTAAAGTTTCAATTCCCAACTGCTTAAGTACTTTCCTCTTCCTTTGCTATAAGTACAAACCAGTAGAGCTTCAGTCTCGACAGAGACTTCTGGTTCCTATGTGTTTTTATGTTAAACTTTGATACCACATTGTGGCCCAAACCTACCCCTGTGGGTCATGATTTGAAGAAATTTGGAATCTTCGAATCTTCGCTACCTGAGGATGATTCAACATGAGTCATCTTTCCTGGCCTAGTCGTTCTAGAGAAGATTTTCAAAGATCCTTCCTGTGTATTCCTATGTTGAACGTTGATACCCGATCGTGGCCCCACCCTACACCTGGGGGTCATGATTTGAACAAAATTGAATCTACACTACCTGAGGATGATTCCACAGGAGTTTCATCTTTTCTGGACTAGTGGTTCTTGAGAAGACGATTAAGAAGATAAAATTAATTATTCACAAATTCATAATTACCTCCCCATGGAAGAGGGTGTGGCCCTTCATTTAAACAAACCTGAATCCCCTTCACCTAAGGATACTTTGTGGCAAGTTTGGTGGGAATTGGCCCAGTGGTTCTTGAGAAGATGATGAAAATGAAAAGATAATAATTAATAACAAGAACGACAGACAACGGACAAATTTTGAACAGGAAAGCTCACTTGAGCCTTCGACTCTGGTGAGCTAAAAATGAACGGAAACATTTCTTTCTTAATTATGTTTATATGTTTTATAGACCGATGCCTTTCCATTGGCTGCAACGACCGCCAAATGATACAGGGAATCTCTAAAGTCCTTAATGTACGAATTTGTTCTTCATATACAATGGCTCGAGTTTCCTCTAAGAGTTTAGTAGTTTCAGACATTTCAGACATTTTTTTCCGGGAAACACAACCAATACACAGAAGAACATTAGCACAAGAAACACACGTTATTTATCTCCACATGCATTCTATAGTTGGCCTGTAAGCTACTATCATACAACTATAATAACATTTGTGACAATGTTCTCAGGTGTTCACGGGTGAGTTGTCCTCACTGGCTACATGGGTTAGAAAACGTAAAAATAGACAAATGCACTTAAACGAATAACAAAGGTATTTAGATATTTTTACATACTCAATGGTATACCCCCAGAATAATGCAGAAACTTTCCCTACTCACTTTAAATAGTTGAAATAACACATTTTACGAATTTTCAAGAGAGCCCTTTTATGATCGACTTTCCGGCTCGATGACCTCTTACCTCCTCCATAATTATATACTTGGTTAGTTTGTTTAATACCCAGGAGCAGAGGAGAAAATTTTCAAAGAATTTATGCATTTCACTATATAATTAACAGAGTCCTGCCCTTATACCAGAACCCCTAACCCTAGGGCCATGAAATTCACAATATTAGAAGAGGCAACCTTATTCAACCTAACAATGTTTTAAAAATTGCTTTGTTTATTAACTACCCAGGAGCAAAGAAGATTTTCAAAGAAATAATGCGTTTTAACTATATAATCTATATAGCCCCGCCCTAGAACTTAAGAACCCCTGACCCAGGGGCCATGAAATTCACAATTTTGGAAGAGGCAACCTTATTCAACATAACTATGTACATGTTCTTATTTAGTTTATTTAATGCGCAGGAGAGAGAAGAAGATTTTCAAAGAAATTATGAATTGTCACTATATAATCTATTTAGTCCCCTGTAGCACTAGAACCCCTGATGCCAGGGCCATGAATTTCACAATTTTGGTAGAGGACTCAATGCTTATTACAACCACCAAAAAAGTTTGAATGCTTGATGTCCAAGAGTAAAGAAGAAGATTTTTAAAGATTTCATTAATTTTAGTGGTTTTGGCCCCATCCCTTAGGCCCCAGGGGGGCAGGGACCAGGACATTCATAATTTTTGTTCCCAATTCACAAGCAATATACTCGGCCATGTTCTATTATGACAAGATCTATTTAAAACTAATTCTGGTTGACAATAATCAATTCAAGTTTAATTTTCTATATAAAAATAAATATGGGAACCGGTTCAATCAGATAAAATAAAGATATTGAATTATTAATATACCAGATAATTGTGATTAAATATTCATGTTTAGTGTAATTCATACAGTCATGTAGGTGTAAAAACCTTTTTCCTTCAATAAATATTTAAATTCAAATTGTTTCTATGCGTGTACTGTTTATATATGACCTTCGCATACATGTAAGGATTCCTGGCATACTACTCAGAATAATTTCAACTGCCTGTTATACTTCCATTGTTTATTGGAAATCTCATATCCCAGTTAGCTCCGCCCTTTAAATTACTCATGCGCGGATCTGGGGGGGGGGGGGGGATTCGGACCACTAAACCAAGTAAAAAGTGACCCTGGACCCCCCCCCTCCTTAGAAAACGCAGATTCCCCCCCCCCCCCTCAAAAACTTGGATATGGCTAAGTTGGTATGAAAAGTCATAGGTATGAAGAAGATTTGGAAGTAAACGACTACCCCCCCCCCCCCCCCCCCCCCGAAATAGGATTTTCACGTTTTTAGGTTTTTTTTTGGTTTTTTGTTTGTTTTTTTTTTTGATTTTTCTTGTCAAATTTCTGGGTTGGATTTTTTTTTCACTGGAGTGCCCCCCCCCCCCCCCCCCCGAGTAAAATTCCTGGACCCGCGCCTGTTAATAAACCCCGTCCAATGGGACAGGTGTGGCACTACTCTGGGACCGCTGTGTAACAGCTCTGGTTTATATATAATTAGCAGTCCCATAATGCAGTCTCCGGGACTGCTCTTGGACTGCTTAGTGTCAGGTTGGGTCTGGTTGGTACTGTATCATCTCGCCGTGTGGTTTGGTCGCGCTATGACCTCTGACCTCCAAACTAGTACTATACGAGGGGTGATCAAAAAGTTCGCGAACTAATTGAATAACTTCCAAAAAAGAAATGATATGGGGTTTTAGTGTTGAATTTCTTTTTACAGTAGCTCTCTCCGATTTTAATGGGTATCTGCAACTATTCTGCCCTTGCGCGGATCACGTGATATAGGCGGTCACGTGACATACTCCTTAGCGTTCTGTCGCAGAAGCATAAACTTTTTTCCGACTCTTATATTTCTTACCATGCAAGTTATTTTTTACAACAAAAACAGTCCAATTGTCAGAAATAGCCTAATTTCCGCAACAGTATGGATGGATAATGATATCATTTTGCAGAATGAGCATGGTGACCATCAAAACCCAAGTCATCTGTCTTTTGAGCGTCGTTTATTCCATGTGGATAAAGTATGGATGCCTTCACTTTATCATATCTGATATGTTGAAAGTCTCAAGAAAACGATATTTTAGGGTTTGAATAATTATATTATTGTAAAGATATTCATTTACTTTTCAATCTGTAAATTGGCGATCTTTCATATCAAATTGCTTAACAAAGGACACGTCTCTTTCCCAGTTTGCTTTCCCCGGGCAACAGAACAAACATCATTTTTAAACATCTCCCTTCCTTCACTTAAACAATCAATCCAATTAATGACAAAACTTTTGGCTAGCCTTTTGTCTTCATAAACCGTGAACAAATTATTATAAACTTCTGCAAAGGAATTTCAAAGATATATGTTTAACTTTACAGCCGTTCGTTTCTCGAATACGACTGAGTCAGCCATTTTTTGTCACGTTATATACCTTATGACGTCATTTTCACATTGTGACGTCACAAACACGGGGCAAAACGTTCCATTACATATGCTATTTACAGTGCATGTGTAGGACTCTATGTGTGCCGAATTTCATTCTGATCTGAATTGTGGTTTTCTAAATATAGAGATAGTTCGCGAACTTTTTGATCACCCCTCGTACATACAGAATTGAACATCTCTTCTCTTCAAAAGGGTCATCTAAGAAAAATTTTTGCAAATGTAAAAACAAAGAAATAAACCCACCTGCCTTCGGGCATGTCAAAAGTCATGGTCAAGAGTGATAGCTAATAACAGTTAAAGGGGCTGGGTGTTCGTGGCCATTTTTAGACTATTTCGACCTCCTTTAGAAGAAGAGCTCCATTTATAGATACACAAAAATGATCAAATTTTAAAACAAATATGTACGATTTTTTTTTTGCCAAATGATAGTTACAGTTATATAGATATCATCTCTAAAAATTTAAGTTATATGTGGTGGTTAATTTGTTGATCCCCAGCCTCCTCAAATAACACCCAAATAAGAGGACCCCCCCCCCCAAAAAAAGGCCAAAAAAAGAAACCCTCGGCGCGGTACCGAAAAAAACCTTCCTTTTTGTGGAAATGACGAGCCGAAAAATTATCCATTTTTATTTTGTGTCCCACTATATTACTACTACATGTACTTCAAAAGGTACCTGTCAGCCTTGTTCGATCTCATACGTGTACGTGCGACATAGTAAATGATAATTAAGTGTTCCAATATGGCAAAGTAAATTAAAGGTTTAATTTTGCTCTCATTAAATATGAATAAGTTGATATTTAGTTGAAAATATAGCAAGCTAGTGGTTTTGACTCTTTTGTAATTACGTATCAATTTAAGTCGCGGCTTGTAATCCAACTTCGGGACATGGAGACCGGTCTTACACAGATAAGACCCTTTAAAACGCGGTCCCGTGTCGAGGTACTGGCACGAAAATGATCCCTCGCTATTCATGATCAATGGCCCTAAGTGTCGAGCCCTCCACCGCCAGGTGGTGGCATCACAATATTAGTGAAAATTCTTGACAAGGACCTCAAACTTACCTATTCCATATCGATCCATTCCCCGGTTGAGCATTCTTACAGTAACAATGAAGTAAACCTTTAGAAGGTCAACTCTCCACCACGGATTATCATCAGAGACATCTGTATGCGAACAGGAGAGAGCGTCAATATCAGTGTCTCTAATTCCATCCACCGCTAAACCAGATTCGTACTTCCATAAGGTTGATATCTGTTCTGTAGGCTTGCCAACCGTGATATTTCGCAGGACTAAAATTTACATAAGAATACTGTAAATCACTTCTCATTTTCAAAGTTTGGATATTTACATGTTTAAATGCAATAATATGTTTTCTAACCCTGTATATTCCAAATTACTTTCTTACAAACATAAGGTGAGGTGCAAATTGAATAACCGAATCACAGTATACTTATAAAAGATACCTTCACGGCAAGTATCGGAAACAACTGTTTGAAAATTAGGGTTGCATGTTGCGTTAATTTGTCCAGATACTGCAACAAAGCCATCATTACAACTGACTGTCCTGGTTACTCCAGGGGTAAACACTTTATCTATATCCACGTTAATCATACCATTTTCCAGATACCTCGAACATTCTGAAGTGAAAGAAAACATTTGATATTTCAATTTTGATCGCTATCTGTAATAATTATAACGTAAGATCAAATGTATCTTACAGTAACTGTTCAGAATCATCGGTGCTAAGTCAACTGATCAGATTTATAAAGTGGTATATACTTGTTTGTATATATTGAAATGGTTTATTTCTTTTTGGTCGTTTAACATAGAGATGATTTGAAATAAATGTTTGTAAAAAATAATAATATGTCTTTGGGTTAGTTTTATTGTAATTTAAATGTGGATAATTGCTTTTTATTTAGAAATGTGTGACATTTTTTAAACGACTTATGGCATTTTTCAAAATGCTACTCCTCCTACAGTTTTGGTCGACACAAGTCATGATACATAATTCTGTGTACGGTTTTTGTGAATATAAATTTTCGGTTCTTTCAAAATGTACAAAAATGCAATGCAGAAAAAACAAACCAAATGATTTTTAAAAGAAAAAAATGATGCATGCACAAATTTCTGATATCTTTTATGCATAAATGTATTTATTAGGCAATAATGTGACCGATGCCGATTGATGTTAATAAACTTAAAGTACAATCTGTTATAGGCTTATACAAAAATAGAAATTTCTGTGAAATTGTTTCAAAATGCTACTCCTCCTACAGCTATTACGGAAATTTCTGTGAAATTCTTTCAAAATGATTTAATATACAGCTAATTCTGTGTATCGATTTTATTTTGATGAACGTTTTTCTAGCATTGCAAAGTCTTTGTTTCGACTACTCAGTAACTGAAAAAGGAAGAGGGTTCAAGTGGACGTCTGATTGTCAAAATGCTTATGATAGACTGAAATCGTGTTTGACAACGGCTCTGATATTGGCATATTTTTAAAAGAAAAAAATGATGCCAAACTTCTCATTGCCTTTTATATAATATACTTTACGGTGCAGCATTGCAAAGTCTTTGTTTCTGTGAAAAAGGAAGAGGGTTCAAGTGGACGTCTGAGAATATACATGTACAACGATATTGGCATATCCAAACTTCACATTGCCTTTTATTCTTGGTGCAGTCCTGTCGCAGAATATACATGTAGACGGCTAGACTGAAAGAAAAGAGATACTTAGAGAATGTCATGATGCTAAAATTTTGGTGTTGCAAAGACTCGAGCTAAATTAAGGAAAAGTTTTACTGGTCAGGTTTACAAGCAGACTCCGAATTTATGTAACAGGATGTCCTCAGTGCCGTAAAAGAAAAGTCTACTCTTCTTGGAAGGCTCGTATGCAAACTGAACAAACTGGTTATCCTATGGAACTTGTAAATAGTGACATAATGAGTACCCTTCCAGAGACTGAATCTGGCAACAAGTTAGTATATTATCGTAATATCTCATTATTTTATATATAAGTGGACAGCTCGGCATATCCTCTGAAAAATATGGAACCAAAAAGTCAGACGGCATGGTGGAAAGGTTTAACAGAACCTCGAACATTCTGAAGTGAAAGAAAACAAGTTAGCGACTTTCATGAGCGCGTATGTCTTATTTCCAGCAAGATTGGGATAAGAAATTACCATATGTTCTAATGGCTTACCGATCCTCTCTGCATGAAAGTACGGGTTATATGTTAATGTTGGGAAGAGAGACGGCTCCCCAATTAACATCATGTACAAAATTCCAAACGGATTGGAGCCTACCAATGTACATGATTAGGTATAGGAACTACGAAAAACCTTGGAAGGAGCGCATGCAAACACGCGCAAAATCACAGAGCAATCTAAGTTTCACCAAAAGAGATTCCACGATCAGAATGTGGTGAAAAAGAATTTTTAAGAAGGCGTAAAAGTGTTCCTATATTTCCCACAGAAAGGAATTGGGAAATCAGCAAAACTTCTTTTCTGAGTTTCTTCATTGTAAAACAGCACCCTGATGTTATTTTCAAAATAAGAAAAGAAAAAGAAACAAAAACACTTATTGTACATGTTAAGATCATATGGGACCCAGGTCCTCAGAGATTGACAGAAGAGTTAATTTTCAAAGGATCAAGGTCAGGACACTGCTGTTGAAATTGGCATTGATAAATCTCATATGGAAATGTTAGGAAATCAGAATTGAATGAAATAGAATTAGCTATAATTCGGGTCATAGACAAAAAAAAGGGCTGCTTGGCATTCTGAATACGAATATGATTACAATTTTTAGTGTAAGGTCACAAGAAAATGTAGATGTTTTTTTTTGGTCTAGTGCATGTTTTAATATGCAGATGTAATAGATAGTTACATTAACGATATCTTGTTAAAACATTTTTTTTTTTTTAAAAAAGGAAAAAAAATGGTATAGCGTGCGGGACGCACGATATCAAAGGCATGGGTAGTGAAACATTATAGAAAACACCTATGAAATAGAATAACCTTACTTCCCACGGAAATAGATTCCCAAAGGGTATATAAATCAGTGCAGCGGGCAGCTAAAGAGAGTTGTGAAGTCTGCGGGGAGAAGACTTAAGGCACACGTAATTATTGAAGAAGTAACTTAAGAAATAAGGCTATAGTGTAGGAATTTGAATATTAAGCTCAACAGCGGTAGTGGTATTCGGGAAATTAATTTGTATGTCAGGAGGTAGTAAATCTTTTCAGATCGAGGTGCCTGATTCACCATATCAATAGGAACCTTTATACCAAGAATACGCGGTGACGCGTGAGTCATATTTAGTTATTGAAACATAGCACCCAGAAAAATCTCTGATAGTTGTCTTCTTATTATATATACAGAATCATTTTACTCAGGAAGAGTTAAGGAAAATTATTATCGCCAAATCATTTTACTCAGACAGAGTATAAGAAAAGTCTCCTCTTAAAAGAATCCTGGTTAAGATATATTCAGATAAAAACGTTACACTTCTTGTACAAAATTGTCACATTAGGAATCTATACTTATAAATTAACAAATTTTGCAAATAAACTCTGAAACGAATGCACAAGAGTTCTTACTTAAGCCTGTAGGAATACACTAGGCATAAGGTGATGTCCGTAAACTATATTCGGATTTCTCGCGCATTGTAATTATCGTAAATTTAACTAGTGCTAATTGTAACGGGGACCGTTACAGATGTTCCCCAAACGCTCCCCAAATCCCTTTTTGTGCCTAATTCCTGTAATTTGAGACTTTAGTTTCAGCCAATCAGAGCAAAGCGCACGTGCATGCGCGTGAGATCTTGCCACTTTGACCATGCCTTCTTGTTTAAGCTTCTAATATATCCTTATATTATGAGTTTCAAAGCATTTCATCAAAAATTTAAATAGTTACGTCTATATCAATTACATGTATATTGGACATTTCTCATGTTGTACGTGCGCGCTCTTGCAAGCACACGTACATGCACCACCGTGTAGTAGGGCACATATGGGGTTTCGGTTAAATAACATATGGGCTTTCAAATCCGAAGCGGTGATTTTTTGCATTTGGAAAATATATTTGTAAAAATCCGTTGCTAATGAAGTCTTCGGGGCCAAATGACATGCGCACGGGTTGTAAGAATGTATTACCTTCCAATTTAGTGCAATAGGCTGGTTGAAAACGTTACGGATTCTGCAAACACTTCTGGACAGTTCAGTCGACTGGGAAAAGTTGTGGTGTCGCTGACTTTCTTTGCTCTATAATTTTCAAAAGCGGACCTTTAAAGCTCATTGTAAGGATGGTAGATGAAGATTGATATAAAAACAATCCATGGAAACTTTTTTCACCTTTCGCAGTCTCTTTTTTCTGTAAGAAATATAAATTTTTGTGGCCAAATTCTAATGTGCCTAATGGGGTTTCAAGGTTTGTTAACATAGGGGGTTTCAACTCAAAGGTTTTTTCTATGTTTAAATCTTTGGATCAGATTCCTTGTTCATTCATCACGAAGGAAAAGTGAATGGCCAAATGGAAGGCAAAAGATTTGTTTTTCACTGGTGTGCAAAGATTTTTAAGCACCTCAAATTCTTATTTTTTGATATCTTCGGTCCTGTAAGAGTGTCAAAAGTCCAAAAGTAAGAATCCAATGCTTACATTTACATTCTCTAGTTTTATCTCTACATAATTGTAAATTTCATTATACATTTACTTTCTACTGGATTTAGCGCATGTCAGACCTGACGTACGTAAAAGCCGTCTGTGACATTGAATGTTAATTGCGGGGGGGGGGGGGGTACAAATGTTATATTTTGATGATTAAGTTATTCCACTGATTTTAATTAATATGAGTTAATACAATACACATCTTAGCCTTACAAGAGGACTGAAAATGCATATAATTCCAACTATGCATTCTACTGCGCATGCAGTAATAAGGTTTGATGTGTTTGATAGGATATTGAATGGAATTATATAAAAATTCCGATGGACTTCTAAAAGAAAAGAAATAATTTGAATGTAAAAATATACATACATGAATACTCACTTTAATCTCTATCGGACACCTATCAAATCTATCTAGGATGTCATTTAAAATTCTGATATTTATGTGTAACTGTTCAGTGGGCGAAACATTTAATTGAACTTTTATCAAAATAGAATTCAAATAAACGATTGCGTTTTTCCCGAAATTCCGAAGGCTGTTATAAGTCCTATTGAATGTAAGATAAAAGATCTGCGACAGGAAATTTAATAACATTGTACATGTATCTAAAATTATGGAACGAACTAGCATATTAATCAATCAAAATCTATTGATGTTTTCAAAAACAACTTTAAAAAACACTTCTTTAGGAACTTATATATTTTTAATCATTGCTTTCCATGTATATTTGTATACAATGTTACTGCATGTACAACGCCATTGAATACGTTTACATAAAAGAAGGCGTTTAATCAAATAAATCAGTTTCACATAGAGGCACATTGCGTCTCATAAACACGGAACTGGGTTTCCTTTAGGAAAATGTGGGAAGGAGGTTTATTTTGAATCTGGTCAGACGCACAAGAGGAACAAAGCATTTTTCTATGGCAATTGAATACAAGGACATAGCATCCTTTTAAAAAAAAAATTTA